GGTTTCATTCAAAAGTCTATTACTTCCGTGGCAATAAAATCGGAAGAAAAGTAGAGAGGCTGGAGATGGGTTTCTTTTTAAAAAAAAGAAAAGGAAAGGAAAGGAAAGGGTCCCTGGATTAAGTTTGGGGGTCTTCCTTGGTTCCACCATTTCCCAAGAGTCAGCAGCTTATTGTTATGACAGAACAGAGGGGCTGGTAAAAAGGGGCAGCTCCTGCCCCCCTAAATGATGCTCTCTGTCTCTGCATCTCTGTGTCTTGATCCCCTTTCTCCCCCTTTGTTTCTCTGTCTCCTTCCCTCCTTCCATCTTTGTCTCTGTCTATATCTGTCTCTGTCTATGTCTCTCCCCATCTGCCTATTCTTTGTCTCTCTCCCCCCTTCTCTCTTCCCTTCCCTCCTCTTTTTTCTCTCTCTCCTTCTCTCTGTCACTCTTTGTCTCTGTCTGTATTTAACTGTCTCTGTCTATGTACTTCCCCACCTGCCTGTTATCTGTCTCTCTCCCCCTCTCCTCCTTCTCTCTTCCCTTCCCTCCTCTCTTTTTTCTCTCTCTCCTTCTCTCTGTCTCTCTTTATCTGTCTTTCTCTCCCACCCCAGACCACCATTCCTAGGAAATGCTCTTTGGGAGCAATTCAATTTACTTTTCCACTGCAGTGTAGACAACGTCTCTGGATTTGGAGGCAGAAGCCCCAAGTTTGAGGCCCATCTACCACTGAGCCATTCATCTACCACCTATATGAAGAATCCAACTCAATCCTATTTAAAGGGTACTTATTGTGCTTTAGACTTTGTCTCAAAAACAATAGAGTGCCATTGCAGGTTCCTAAGCTACTTTTAGAGTAGTTAGGAAGAGTCTATATAGGTAAAGAGTATGGGTACAAGTAGATTATGTTGAGGTGATCTTCAAAAAAAAAAGGCAGGATGAGAAAGAGGGATGCACTGGGAGCAGAAGGGAGGGAGGAGCAGAATGGGGCAAATTTTCTCACATAAAAGAGATGCACACGAAAAGAGCTTTTATGGTGGAGGGGGAAATGGAGGGGAGGATGACAGGCAATGTTAAACCTCACTCTCATCAAAATTGGTTCAAAGAGGGAAGAATACATATACCAACTCAGCTGGGTATAGAAATCTATTTTATCCAAAAGGGAAATAGGAGGGGAAAGAAACAAAAGAGAGGAGAGGTAATGATAAAAGGGAGGGCAGATTAAGGGAGGCAGCGGTCAGAATTAAAACAGACTTTTGGGGAGGGACTGGATAAAAAGAGAGATAAGAAAGAGAAGAAAATGGGATGGAGCGAAATACACAGTAATCATAACTGGGAATGTGAATGGAATGAGTGCACCCATAAAATGGAAGCAGATAGTAGAATGGATTAGAAACCAGAATCCAACAATATATTGTTTACAAGAGACACATTTGAAACAGAAAGACACACACACACAGTTAAAATAAGAGGCTGGAGCAGAATCTAGTATGCTTCAGTTGAAGTAAAAAAGGCAGGGATAGCAATCATGATCCCAGATAAAGCAAAAAACAAAAAACCTAATTAAAACAGGTAATCAGGAAAAGTTCATTTTGTAAAAGTTACCATAGACAATTAATATAAAAAAATTTTATAGCAAGTTTCTCTAATAAAGGTCTCATTTCTCAAATATATAAAGAACTGAATTAAATTTCTAAAATTAAATTAAATTTAAATTTAAATAAAATTAAATTTCTAAAAATAAGAGCTATTCTCAGTTGGTAAATGGTCAAAGGCAATTTTCAGGTGAAGAAATCAAATTTTTTATAGTCATATAAAAAATGCAAATCACTATTGATTAAAGAAACACAAATTAAAACAACTCTGAGGAGGTGCTATCCACACCTATCAGAAATGACAAATGCTGGAGGGGATGGGAGGAAATCAGTCCACTAATGCACTGCTGTAGACTTGTTACTGATTCAACCATTTTGGAGAACAATTTGGAACTATGCTCAAAGGGCTATAAATCTGTGCATACCCTTTGAAGGAGAAATGCCACTACTAGGCCTGTATCTCAAAGAGATCAAAGGAAAAGGAGAAGACCTATATGCACAAAAATACGTATAGCAGATCTTTTTGTGGTGGTTAAGAAACGGAAATTGAGAGGATGCCCATCAACATGACAATATAGGAAAATGATAAATGTTGGAGAAGATGTGGGAAAATTGAAACACTAATGCATTATTGGTAGAGTTGTGAAATGATCCAGCCATTCTGGAGAGCAATTTGGAACTATGCCCAAAAGGCTATAAAAATGTACATACCCTTTGACCCAGCAACAGCACTTCTAGGGCTGTATCCCAAAGAGATCATACAAATGGGAAAAGGACCCACATGTACAAAAATATTTACAGCAGCTCTTTTTGTGGTGGCAAAGAATTGGAAATTGAGGGGATGCCCATCCTTTGGGGAATGGCTGAACAAGTTGTGGTATATGAATGTAATGGAATACTATTGTGCTACAAGAAATGACAAGGGGGAAGTTTCAGCAAAACCTGGCAAGAGCTCTATGAACTGATGCAAAGTGAAGTGAGCAGAACCAGGAGATCGCTGTACATGCCAATAGCAACGTTGTAATTGTGATGTTCAACTGCGGAAGACTTGCCTGCTCTGATCAATACCATGATCCAAACAATTTCAAAGGACTCATGATGAGAAACGCTCTCCATATCCAGAGGGAGAGCTGATGAACTCGCCGTAAACTGAAATATGATGTTCTCACTTTCTTTGTTTTTCTCACTCTTTGGCAACATGGCCAATACACAAATGTGCTTTGCATGATTTCCCGTGTTTAATTGGTATCGTGTTGCTTGCCTTCTCAGTGGGCAGGGAAGGGGAAGGAAGGAGGGAGAAATTTAGAAATATTCATGTTAAGTAGATAATACAAAAGAAAATACCAGAACAAAGGGGTGGCTTTGCCCTCCCCCACAGCCTCAAGGGTTTAGGATAGGCTCTCAATCCACCCTCTCCTTATCTGGGCACAAGTCCGTGATGCAACTCTAAGGTTCACCCAGGCACTTGCCTTCCAATCTGTCCTGGTGTGAGGGGAGCAAGTGCGATCATCACCCCCACTTTACATATGAGGAAAACTGAGGCCCTCAGAGAGGCAGCTCACCACAGTCACACAGAGCCCCACACTAAGGCTGCACCCCTCTGGGGTCAGATCATGAGCATTAATCTTGGGTAATTTCCTTTTAACTGTTTACCTCTGCCTGCTCCCCCAGGGAGGACAGCTGGGATGCAGTTGGCGATCCTGGTGAGGCCTCACCTAAGGGTGCTTTTACCTCCTTTTCCTTTGCCAAATGGCTGCAGCTTCCCCAATTTGTACATTATTCCCAGGCTGCAAATCAGTGATTTTGAGAGATGCTTGGGGGCATTCCCCCACCATCCGCACACAGAGCTGCCCTTGGGCACCATCAGCGACATCGTTAGGTCACCATGTGACCACAGGTGGTGCTGCAGTGGTCTGAGCCTGCCCTCCCCCAGACTTCCAATAACTCCCAATGACCTGTTCTCCCTTCCCGTCTGCCTCGGCCACCACTTCCCGCTCCTCAAATCTCACTCCTCCCCAACTGCACTTTCCTGGTTCTCCTCTGACCCCTCTCCTGTGCCTTCTCTGCCCCAGGACGGTTTTCTATCCCCATCCCCTATGTGAAGGCCCCCTGAAAGACCCTATCTCCGACCTGCTTCTCCTCTCTCTCATTTCACCCTCTCTGCTCACGCTCAGATAATGTCCACATCTCTGTCTCTGCCCCGACCCCTCATCCAGGCTTCAGGCCTCCCATTCCCAACTGTTTGCTGCCCATCTCTACCCACGTGTCCCACCAATACCACCAGTGGCAGCTCTGAATTCATGACCTCCCGACCAGTCCTGCAGAGAGGGCCAGTCAGCCTCTCTGTGGATCCTCCAGCCAGACCCATGTGAGGATTAGGTCACCGCAGCACTTAAGCACCTGTGATTCTGCATAAGCATTCCCGTACAGGTCCTTGACATGCTGACCCAACCCTATGTGGCTCCTTTGTGGAAGACACTAAAAAGGGATTGCCTGAGGCTCAGAAAGATTCAGGGACTTTCCCCAGTCCAGTACACTGTCTGACATGCCAGGCACTTCTCTCAGCATCGGATGGGATTCTACCCTCCCTTGTACAGAAGAAGAAACCAAGGCTGAGAGAAATCAGGTGCTTTGGCCCAGGATCACCAAGGCATCAAGTGCCAGAGCTAGAATCCAAATCCAGCCCTCCCTCCCCCAACCTCTGCCTCCTCCTAGGTCAGAGAGCAATGGCTAACATGGCTGCTCCGGCCAATCCAATGATCCAGGACAGCATCAAAGGATTCGCGGGGAAAAACACTCTCCCCCCCCCCAAGAGAGAGGGCGCAGAAGTACCCATTTCTCACTTTCTTTATTTCCCTTGCTTTTTTTTTCCTTTGCAATATGGCTAATATGGAAATGTCTTGCACGATTTCACATGTATAATTGATATCCTATTGCTTGCCTTCTCCATGAGTGGAAGAGACGTAGGGGGAAGGGAGAGAATTTGGAACTCAAAATTAAACAAGAAAAGAACGTTAAAAATAAATGATCCTTTTTAAAAAGTCAATGGCTAGCTCCTAATTGTTTGAACACTATGTATAACTGTTGACAGTCATATGTCCCTTTTTTAATGCAGATGACAAATGAAGCTATCGAAATTCTAAATGCCAACTTATTCAGAGATTGGGAAATGCTATGTTCCTAACACTAGGCAGGGGATAACTTAATCATCTAGGAGCTCCTTCCAACTGAGACCCCATGATTAGAGATGTCTTGGAAACCCCTGTCACCACCAAGGCACGTTCACCTTCTAATGGTCCACATGAAAGCCAGACCGTTCGTTGTTTATCAAGAATTTCCTGATACCACTGGTCCACCCTCTCCTATTTTAAACAATCATTAAAAGCAGTTTGACAAACATGGCACACATTTCATCGACATTCTTACCTCTTCAAAGAAACAGGGGAAGTTCCGGAGGAAAAATTTCCAATTTATGTGGGTGTGGAGATGAAGTCTTAATTTCTTCAGCACATAAGTATATTGAGAGTCTTTGAGCTTAAAGCATAAATCTTTTATGACCTGTGCAAAATCTGATGCTTTGATTATGCCCGTATCTTCTTTATCATATGCAGCAAATGCCTGGCAAAGAAAAAAGGATGCAGACCTGTCAGAGGCAGGCACAGATTTCAGAAATATTTCTCAACATTGTTTCTAAGGGATGACTGAGACATGTAAAAACACACTATAAAGTTAATCCCATGTCAGGATTTTTTAGAAATATTCATTTACTTTTAAAAATAGCTCACAATTCTATAGAGTCTCAGAGTTTACAGAGGAGGGAGGTGACTTCCCCAAGGTCACTTAGCCAGTGATGGTCAGAGTGGAGGGGTTCAAACTTCATGGCCAGTCCGGTGTTCCCTCCAGCAAACCCCAAAATGGAAGTCCCCACAAATCGATGTTCAGCAAAGGTTAACTGAGGTATATCCTTCACCCCAGAGAAGGACAGCAGGTATATTATCAAACAATCAATTATCAAAGTACTGAACCCGTCTTGCCCAAAATTGTCTTCTTTATTAGCCATCCTGAAAACTCGAAGTGAGTGTGGTGGGACCAAAAAATGAGCGAGACTCAGAAGGCAAGAAGACTGAGCCCGAGTTCCACTTCTGACACTGCCATAAGACGGTGGGCCAAGCATGCTGACTCAGTTTCCCCACTTGTAAAGTAGGAGCAATAAGATAGTGCTCTATGAGATGCCCGGGAGCTCCTCTGCAGCAAGGAACAGGCAGGTGTATGAACCGTCTTCAGTTAGAAGCTGGGTAAGTAAGCCAAGGCTGGGAGGACAGGGGAATTCACTAAATCTCTTAAATGCCTGAAGAATCAATGTCAAAACACAAGGGCTCTGGGATTGCTTTTTTCTTCTAGGTCAGGGATTCTTAGCCTTTTTTTGTGTCGTGGACCTCTACTGGCAAAGTCTCTGGGCCCCTTCTCAGCATCATGCTTTAAAATGCATGAAAAGATTACAAATTAATTCTACTGAAATATGGCTACCAACATATGTTTAAGAATCCAGCTCCTGGGCCCCGAGGGAAGGTGGCTAGTCTGAATAATGGCTGAGGTAGCAGCATGGAGCAGGGGAACGGGGAAGTCAGGGGCTGGCACTGGCGATCCCTCCTAGGGGGGCAGCCTGGGCCTGGGGCTGCCCTTCTTGGGGACCTTGTGAACTCTTAGAAGGCGTCCAGAGCCCCTTCCAGCTCTAAGGGGCCAGCCGTCTTGTGCGTGTCCTGATACCAGTCAATGCCTTGCATCGGGCACTTGGGAAGTCAGACCCACCTTAACCTTGCACCCAGACGGGCTGACCACGCTGCTCCAGAACTGACTGGGACCCGACACCTTCAGAAATATCAGGTGCCTGAATTTGGGCAGGCCAAGGTAGATAAGTCCTTTGTCTCCCTCAGGTTTGCTCTCTATGGACCTGGGCCAGTCCAAGCTGAACACCAGCCCCCTAAGAGTATCTCTCTGCAGAAAGAAATGGCAGTTAAGCTGCCCTGAAGATCTGGAATCCTTGGGAAAGGAAGCTTCCAGAGCAGCAGGAGAATGGATCCAGGACTTCCTCTTTGTACCCAGCTCTTGTGAGCACAGAGAGGAGCTTCCTGCGAAAAGGGCCCTTAGCAAGCTGCCATCTTGTCCAGAGGAGTGAAGGAGATGCGTCACAGAAGCTCTCAGTCATGGCAGGAGCCTGGATCTAGAGCCAGCAAGGGCCTTCCATGTCATCTAGTTCAACACCCTCATTTCACAAGTCAAGCCGACAGTCACAGCAGCATCTACTGGGTGTCAGGGACAGAAAAAGAGGCAGAAACAATGTCGGCTCTCAGGAGCTCGCTGTCCAATGGGAGAAATGACCACAAGTGCCTGTGTACAAAGATGTGGACAGGATAAACTGGAGAGAGTTAATGGGGGGAAGGCCCTGAATCGAGAAGCCTCTCCCAATTCCATAGAAGAAGGTGGGAGTTTTGTTGGGACTTGAAGACAGGGAGGGCAGTAGGCGAAGATGAGCAGGGAGAACATTGCAGGCACAGAGGACAGCCAGAGGAAATGTACAGAGCCGGGAGACGGAGAAGCGTATTCATGGAACAGCAGGGAGGACGGTGCTGCTGGATCAGAGAATCTGTGCTGGGGAGGGAAGGTCAGAAGGTCCAGGTTATGAAAGGCTATGAACACCAAACAGAGGATTTTAAATTTGAACCTGGAGGCAATAGGGGGCTACTGGAGTTTATTGAGGGGGAGAGTAACAGGGTACAGACCCAACTTTAGGAAAATTACTTCGAGTTTTTACACAAACAAAAATCAATGCAGCCAAAATTAGGAGAGCAGGAAACTGGGGAATAATTTTTACAGCAAGTTTCTTTGATAAAAGCCTCGTTTCCCAAATATATAAATAACTGAGCCAAATTCATAAAAACAAGAATCATTCCCTAATTGATAAATGGTCAGAGGATATGAACAAGGCAGTTTTCAGATGAAGAAACCAAAGCTATCTATAGTCGTATGAAAAAAATGCTCAAAATGCAAATTAAAACAACTCTGAGGTACCACCTCACACACCTCTCAGATTGGCTAATATGACAGAAAAGAAAAATGACAATGTTGGAGAAGATATGGAAAAGAAAGAACACCAATGCCCTATTGGTGGAGTTGTGAATTGGTCCAATCATTCTGGAGAACAATTTAGAACTATGCCCAAAGGGCTATAAAATGTGCATACCCTTTGACCCAGCAATATCACTACTAGGTCTGTATCTCTAAGAGATTAAAGAAAAATGGAAGGACTTATATTTCTAGCGGCTCTTTTTGGGTTGGCAAAGAATTGGAAATTGAGGGAATGCTCATCATTTTGGGAACGGTATATGATTGTGATGGAATACTATCATGCTATAAGGAATGATGAGCAGGATAATGTAAGAAAGCCTGGACTTAAATGACCTGATGCAAAGTGAAGTGAGCAGAACCAGGAGAGCACCGTACATAGTACCAACAATATCGTACAATGATCAACTGTGGATGACTTAGCAATTCTGATCAATTCAATGATCCAAGACAGTTGATGAAAAATGCTATCCAGAGCTGATGGTCTCTGAATGCAGACTGAAGCAGACTTTTTCATTTGCTTAAATTTTCTTGTTGTTTTTTCTTTTTGCAAATCTATATGGAAATGTGTTTTGCATGATTTCACATGTATAATGCATAGTATATTGCTTGCCTTCTTAATGGGTGGGGGAAGGTCAAGAGGGAGGGAGAGAATTGGGAATTCAAATTTTTTCTAATTTATGTATTTACTTTTAGTTTTCAACATCCACTTCTGTAAGATTTTAAGTTCCAAATTTTCTCCCCATCTCTCCCCTTCCTCCACCCCAAAACAGCATGCAATTTGATATAGGCTCTACATATACATTCATACTGAACCTATTTTCATATTAGTCATGTTGTAAAGAAGAATTAGAACCAATGGGAGAAACCACAAGAAAGAAGAATGAAAAGAAAAAGAGAAAGAGAGAGAGAGAGAGAGAGAGAGAGAGAGAGAGAGAGAGAGAGAGAGAGAGAGAGAGAGAGAGAGAGAGAGAGTGCAAATGGTCTGCTTTGATCTGCATTCAGACTCCATAGTTCTTTCTCTGGATGTGGATCGCATTTTCCATCATGAGGCCTGTTGTCCTGGATCCTTGCATTGCTAAGAAGAGATAAGTCAAAGTCAGTCATCACACATCATGGCTGTCACTGTGTACAGCATTCTCCTGGCTCTGCTCATTTCACTCAGCATCAGACCATACAAGTCTTTCCAGGTTTTTCTGAAATCAGCCTGCTCATCATTTCTTATAGCACAATAGTATTCCATTACAGTCGTATACCACAACTTGCTCAGCCATTCCCCAACTGATGGGCATCCCCTCAATTTTTAATTCTTGGTCACCACAAAAAGAGCTGCTATAAACATTTTTGTACATGTGGGTCCTTTTCCCATTTGTACGATCTCTCTGGGATACAGCCCTAGAAGTGCTATTGTTGGGTCAAAGGGTATGCACATTTTTATAGCCCTTTGGGCATAGTTCCAAATTGTTTTCCAAAATGATTGGATCATTTCACAACTCCACCAACAATGCATCAGTGTTCCAATTTTCCCACATCTTCTCCAACATTAATCATTCTCCTGTTTTGTCATGTTGGCCAATCTGATAGGTGTGATGTGGTGCCTCAGAGCTGTTTTGATTTGCATTTCTCTAATCAAGAGTGATTTGGAGCATTTTTTTTCATATGACTGTAGATGGCTTTAATTTCTTCATCTGAAAACTGCCTTTTCATATCCTTTGACCACTTATCAATTGGGGAATGACTTGTATTCTTATGAATTTGACTCAGTTCTCTACATATTTTAGAAATGAGGCTTTCATCAGAGACACTGGTTGTAAGGAACTCAAAATTTGTAAAAATGAATGTTAAAATAAGGCATAATCACTTTTTAAAATTAAAGAAGTTTTTAAAAATCACTTTGAGATCTGAATGGAGGATGGTCTGATGAGGAAACTGAAGCCCAGAGAAGGAAAGTGACCATTTGCTCAGGCAGCAAAGCCAGGACAGAACCAAGGACTGCTGACCCCAGATTTTGTACTCTTTTCACTCATTTGGCTTTTGGAGACAGCAGAGAGGCAGGAGATGGAGTTGGCTTTGGGGCACAATCAGGAATCACACCAGGAAAAGCAGACAGGGTATTTGGCCCCCAGTAGCGCCAGACCCTGTGAGTTCCTGTGGCAGCATGGGTGCTCTGGGGCCACCTCCATCCACCACCATTAGGCATTTTCACCAAGGGATGGGATGCACCAATAATTTAATTAGGATGCAGTCACAAGGATCAGACTGATCAGAAATTCCCAAGACTCGTGGAAATCGACTGGGTGAAAACTCTGGGCTCTGCGCATCTTCTTCCCGCTCTGTGCAGGTTCCTTTCCATTACTGCCACCCCTCCCAGAAGCTCCCTAGACCCTCCCCTTGCCTTGGCCATGGCCACCAGATGCAGCCCCAGCAGAGGGAAGGCACAAGAGCCTCTCTTGGCCCGGGGGGGAGGGCATTCCTCTTAGAAAGCACAGGAGGGGAGAGGGAAGAGCCCTCAGCTGGAGTGGTTCTGCCCTTCACTAGTTATGACACCAGGTGAGCCCCATCCCCCTCACTGGGTCTAAGTCTCAATATCCTAATTTGTAAAATGACAGTAACAGCTCACGTTTATGAATCACTTCACATGCATCATCACTGCTTCCTCACAACAGCCTGGGGGAGGGGGGAGTAAGTGCTGGTGTTATACCCATGTTAGGGAAGCACAAGTGAGGCTACTAGAGATCAAAGTGACTTGTTCAGGGTCACATGGCTAGTAAGTATTGGAGGCAGAATTCAAACCCAGATCTTTGTAATGCCACAAAGTTCATTGAGCTCCATCTACTTTGTCCTGATTCTTTTCATTAAAAAAGTGAGGGATCATACATGCTAATCCGTGTCACCAAAGTGTTTCTGTCAACCCTGCAGAATTATGGAAATGAGAAAGAGTCTATTTACCAGCCTTGAGAGACAGGGCACTCTACTGCCCCTTCTTGGAGTCCATTTTCTCACCTGTCAAATCCTCCTTAGCTCATCTACCTCCCCAGAGAAACTGCTTCGAAGCCACGAGCACCATGGATAAGGGGGCAGAGCATGGCCAGGTGCCCAGGAGGGGCAGGGTGAGAGCCTGAGACAATGGGTCGGTGGAGGAGCTGGGGCAACGCTCTGGGAGACCCAGAAACAGCCCTGGAGGCGGTGAGGAGGGCAGGGGTAGTACCTTGAAGAGAGCTTCGTAGTTTGCTGAGACCACTTCCTTCATCTTCTTCAGGGCCTGGTTGGGAGCCAGCGTTGAGAAGCCCACTGCCTGACACTCCTCCTTCTCCTTGGGATGAGCCTTGACGGGGTTGAAGTTATCAAGAGTTTTCAGAAATTCATGGTAGTAGATGATATCGTCGTTACAGGAGATCCCCCAGCTAAAGGGAGAAACACACACAAAGAGAGGGGTGGCAAGGTCAACCACCAAAACCCCCATCCACTGGAGAAACAGTTCTTGAGAGCCCAAGGGCCTCCCCCTCCAGGAAGCCCTCCTGCAAGGTGGTGGTCAGCAATGAGCTGCACCTTTGACCTCCCCATTCATTTCATGGGTAATTCAGCTAGTGACCCAGACCATTCTCCTTGGGGGGGGGTACATACACACATACCACCCCCCTATCTTTTACCTAAAACTATGAGACGTTTTGTCTAGAACAAGTGTTCTTCACCTGCAGTCTGTGAACTCAGTTTTTAAAACCTGTTTTGGCAAATGTAATTTGATGTCATTGGCTTTCTTTTCATCCTGCTCTTCCTCTTCCAACGTGGTTCTAGAATGGCTTGGCTCTAGGCCTCCCCAGACCACCTGCTCCAAGGTTCTGTTAGGAGGAGACCCCGGTCCCAGTCCCAGCTCCATCCCAACTGAGATCAGAGATCTGGAGGACAACCTTCCCATTTGATAGATAGGGAAACTGAGGCCCAGAGGAGGGAAGGGGGTCCCCAGGCTAGGGGGTGAAGCTGGATCCTCTGACTCTGAAGCCAGCGGCCTTTCCACTAGGCCATCCCGCCTTCCCTAGCTGGGTGGCCTTGGGCAAGTCCCACCCCACTCCTTTAGGCCTCCTTTCCTCTTGTCAACTGAGACAGTGGCTCCCTTCAAACCCCCAGGTTTATGGCAGCGCTGTGGTGGGGCTGCCTGGGGGGATGTGTGGAGCTGCAAACAGACAGGTAACAGTGTAGTTGGGAGGGTGGAGTCGGGAGAAACCTTTGGCACTTACTATATAACCACTGAGCCAAGCCTCAGTTTCCAGATCTGTAAAATGGGGATATCTGTAGTGTACTGTGCCCTCACAGGATCACTTGCAAGAGTACAGTCCTTGTGCCGGAAGGGACCTGAGAGGCTGCCTACGTTCCCCAGGCACTGCCCTCAACTCTGCCACCGAACCCTGAGGACCACCAGTGTTGCCACTCAGCCTGCGGTCACACGCACTCTAATCACACCAGACCTTGCCATCTGCCCTGCCCCTAAGTCCTCCTGGGTGAGCCATCCTCCCAATCAGAGTGTGGTCTCCATGAAAGCAGGGGGCACTCAGCACACTGTCATATCCCAAGTGCGGAATAAGCACTTTATCAATTACAGGTGAGGAAACAGACAGCTAGAGACGTTCAGTGACTTGTTGAAGGAGCTGGGAGTGTGAAGGGAGAGAATGCCCAGCTGTTGCTCCGCCAACCTCAATGTCTCCCTCACTTTCAGGGGCTGCTGCTGTGACTGACCTCTGAGCTCTGTGGAGCCACGAATCAGCTACTACTCCTCCACCTCGAACCTTCCTCCCATCCCCTGGGCACTGGGCCCTGAATACAGGCGGCACTAAATAAATGAGGCTGCCCTGCACTGAATTAGGCTCATGGCAGCATTTGGACTCAGAGTCAGGAGCCCTGGGAGAAGTAAGGGCTGGCTCTCCTTCTGAGCAGGAATTTAACTGGGCCCAGGCTTGGGATTTTCTGGGCTGCAATATCCCTCTGTTAGAGAGGCAATGGGCATGCTAGGAAGTGAGCTGACCTGGGAATTGAGAAGACCTGGCTTCAAGTCTTACCTCCGACATACACTGATTGGATAATCGTGGGCAAGTCTTTAAATGCCCCCAGGCAGTTCTTAACAGAGTAAAATTCAGAAAAGGTAGAGGGATAGCCTCCACTGGGAGTTAACAACTCCAATAAAATCATAAACCCAATTTAAAAAAGAAAAAGAAAACAAAATAAAGGGATGAGAAGGGAAGGAGAGGAGAGACAGAGAGGGGAAAAGAGGAGGGGAGGGGAGGGGAAGGAAGGGAAAGGAGGAGACAAAAAGAGAGGAGAGACAGGGGGAAGAGGAAAGAGAAAATGATGGGCTTGGCCTAGAGAACCTTGAGGTCTCTAGCAGCTCCACATTGTCAGGATAATTTCTCTGGCAGTGTGACTTGGATGGACTGGAGAAGCAATAAACTAGGGGCACCCTCATAAGGAACTACTTCCCTGGTCCAGGTGAGAGGTAAAGAGAGACTAAACCAGACCGGGGCTGGGACAAGGAAGGGACAGATTGAAGAGACACCTTGAAGGAAGATTGAATTGGCAAAGCTCAGTGACTGGTGAGAAGCCAAGTTAAAGTCCTTTTAAAGAGCTTGTCTTCCAGGCTTGAAACTGACGTTGCCAAACTTTGCTCTCAAAACCCTGGCAGAAAATACTCAAAAATAGATTTTTACAACCAGAAGCTCGGCAGTTTAGTACTTTCTCAAAAAAAAAAAATCCTTTTGGTTGTGTGTCTAAATATAGATGTCCGTGTGTAAATGTGCTCTCGTTTCTCTCCCAATTCTCTGAGGAGCGAGATCCCATTTCAGCCCCAAATCTGTCATTCATCATATTTACAGCTAAAAGGGCCCTTAGGGAGCCCAAGATCAGAGGGGTCAGAGCCGGAAGAGTCCTTAGAGGTCACTGAGTTCAACAGATGAGAAACCAGGGCGCCCAGGAAACTGAGCAGCTTACTCATCAAGGTCACCCAGGAAGGAAACTGTCAGTATTCGAAACCAGGTCCTTGCACCCTGGATCCACGGTTTTTTCATCCATCGTACTGCCTACCTTTTAAAAATTGAATTAGATTTTCTTTTTTGGGGGGCACGCCCAAAGCCCAGAGCTATTTCTGTGTGCCGCTCCCCACCATAAGAAGCCCAAGTGGCTTCCTCTTGCCTCTAGGGGAAAAAATGCCAGCTCTTTTCCTCATCGTCAGATCCCCTGGCCACTCTGCCTCCAGTTGCTCCACCATTTCTGAGATGATGGCAAACTGCTCACTCTCACTCCTTGTTAGGTTCCAGCCACACTGAACTACTTCATGTTCTCCAGGTACAATGCTCCATCTCCCACCTCTAGATTTTTGCACCAATGTTTGCCAGGCCTGGAATGCTCTCTCTCCTTACCTCTGCCATGTCACCCCCGCTCTCCCACAAGAAGCTCTGCTCAAGTGCTGCCTCCTAGAAAAGGCCTCCTCTGACTACCCCAGCTTTTGGCAATCTTCTGCCATGGAGTTCCTCCACCCTCACTCTGTGTATGGATGCATTCTCCCCATCCCCAATTTGGCACTGTAGTCTCTTGAAGATGAGCGGCTGTTTCATTTTAGTCTTCATAGCTGCAATGCTTAGCACAAAACCTGGCAAACAGTTGGTACCTACTAAGTGCTTGTTTTTGATTATTTGCTCCATGGCTCCTGAGCTTCTCTATGGCCAGCGGTGGAGACATAAGAAGAGTAACCCGAAACATTTTTCCTTTTTCTGCTTGGAGTTGGAAAGTCTACATGGCCAGCTAGGCCAAGGAGAAGTGGACACAACATCCTCTCAGAAGTGATTCTGATTCCCATATTTTTAGGATCATTATTAAGGATTCCATTTTCCTCATCCATGAGTCATTTTTTGAGGTACTTGTGTGTTCAATTCAGTGAGGAATTTCCCCAGAGAATTCAGGTATTTGATCCTCTTCAACTTAGCCAGCATCTGGACGTCCTCCTCTGGTCTGTAGAGCCTTGGTAGGTCTCATTAAATCCTTAACTCTGGATCTCTTGTTCAACTGGCTGATGGCCAGGAGATCCTCAAGCATGAGGATCACCAATGGACATGAGGTGTGGCAGGCTCATCAATACTGATGACAACATGTTGAAAACAATGATGTGGGTATAAGGAGTGGGGTTCACCTCGCCATGGAGGATATGCATGAGGAAGAGGACATAAGGCTAAGGGGTGAAAGTGAGAAATAAAAAGGAAGAGACCTGATGCTTCCTTGTACAATCCAACATTCAATGCCATCCCATTCAGAAGCATTTGTAAAGCCCTTACTGTGCACTTGGCACTGTGCAAGATTCTGGATATGCAAAGAGAAAAGAAAACAGCCCGTGCCCTCAAGGAACTTACGTTCTCTTGTAATGTGATTGAGGCTCAGAAGAAGAGCTCCACCTGCACGTTGGGTATGTCCACCATGAAACACAGACAGAGGGATGCATTGCATAAAATGGTATGGAGGGGTGGTGATCTGCACTGGCAAGGAGCACACTCCCACACGAGGTGTCCCAGGTCTGTAGCAGAATCCAATATTCTATGTGAGAGGTCACTCAGCATGATGTAAAGAGCATTGGATTTGAAGTCAAAGGACCCAGGTTCCAGACCCAACTGGCTGTTTACAATAGCTATGACCTTGATCAAGACACTTCCCTGCTCCCCGTCCCATCCAATCACTCACCAAGTCCTGATTCTACCTCCACAACTCCCGCCCCCTTCTATCTACATGCCCATCACCTCCACCCCCATCTTGGGATCTCATCACTCTCACTTGAACTAACAGGTCATTTGGCTTCCAGTCTGTCCCCTAATCCATCCTCCCTCACAGCTACTAAAGTGACACTTGGAAAGCACAGGACTCTCTGTGCTACAACTTACTAGCTGTGTGACCCTGAGTAAGTCACCCTCCATCTGCCTCTGTATCTTCAACTGTAAGACAGATAATTATAACACATGCTTCACAGGCTTGTTTTGAGGATTAAATGAGATAACATTTGTAAAAAAAAAAGTGTGTAGTACAGTGCCTGGCACACAGAAGGCATTACATAAATGCTCATTCCCTCCTCTTCTTCTTTCCTATTCCACTGCTCAGTAAACTTCTGTGAGTGCTCTCAATCACCACTAGGATAAAATACAAAATACTACACCTGACATTTAAAGGCCTGCCACCCACTGGACTTTCCAGGTTTACTGTGTCCCCCCCACACACAAACCAGATCTCCATCTCCTGTCTCTCTGTCTTTGCATGGGCTGCCTGGAATGCTTTCCCTCCTCACTCCAACCTCTTAAGAATCCCTAGTTCCTTTCAAGGCTTCCTAGTTAATGTCCTCTCCTTCCACTCCCAATTACTCTTTGCTCTTCCTCTCCCCAGG